TTGTAATGAGGTTTTGTAACAAATTTATGTGTATCAGGGACACTGATAGTTTTAGTGGAATTGCAGGATCCACAGATGTCTGATTGAAAATTGGAATGGTGCAAATTGATGCTATCAATGTCCTGATACACATAAACATTTTTTTACAATCCCTTCAAATTTGTTTTTAATGGAATATCACAAAATGTTGTTAGCTGATAATTATTGTCTAGATACAGACAAAAACATGTTTCTTTTCTACATCAGATATTTGTCCAAAACAATTTTTTAGACTCGACTGTCTCCACAAGACTTCCTTGTTTCTGGTTTTTCGTGGCATCAAATCTTTAAATGTGACAAAAATGAAGCTAAAACTTACCTGAGTCTAAGTATTATTATAGTCCTTAGTCTTCAAATTTATTTCAAATTTCACTCACTCTATCCCCAAAAACTGTCGAGAAAACCACAACACAAGTCACAAAGCAGGTAATGTAATGTATTTTACAGTAGGCCTATCTGAAACACATCAAAGGAAAAAGTGTTTAAAATTCAGTTGAAAACCATTAAAAAAATTCCACATTGAAGCCTCAACACCAGCTGCTTGCAACAAAAATGATTGGAGAGCAATGTCTGCTAAATAACTTCATTTGTTCAAGACTGAGCAAGCAGACTTCTCTATCCGTCTGCCTGAATCAATGTGAAACTAGGTCAACTCTATTATTAATCCATATTGCAGGGTTTCACTGGTTTGTTAGTAAACATTGAACATTAAAAGATCAAATCTTATAGGCTGTTAGGGCAATATTAACAATATTATGCAATTTGATGAAAGAATAGATTAATCTTTACACTGGCTAGATCACATTAAGCCTACAATCCTTTTTAAAAGTCAATTTCACAGAAATGTATTCCTTATCAGGGCAGCTGATGCGGGTAAGAAAGGGTGACATGGAAAAAGGGTCAAGTCGTTCGGATGAGACAATAAACCAAGACCCCATGTGCTACAAGCTGTGTACATTAAAAATTCCTTGACAGTTGCAAATCGATTCATTTCATTTGAAATGTGAGTTTAACATTTGGAAATGAGAATGAACTTTGCAATACTAGTACTAAAAACTCACTGAACAGGAGGTGAAAAACTAACATACAAAAAGTAAAGTTTTATGACATATAGCTATCCTCCCAAAGAATCTAAAAATCATACAATATACTCACCAAAAAAAGCAATCCTAAACTTAATAACCTTCTCCAAAATTCAATATTTAAAATAAGAACTAACTATCTAAGATGTAGTGCAGACCTTGTAACTGATGTAGTGTGTTCAACTGTTATATTATTTGACAGGTAAGACAGACAGTATGATTTGATAAATTACATAGCACAGAATTTAAATTCAACCAATGGTTTGATTTCAAATTCAATTGATTGATGATGACAAATATAAGATGTTTTGAATGAATTGACAACTCTTCATTCTAGTGAATTTGTAAATTTCTAGATTTTGTAGTGTATCAGGACATTTAAAGGGAAAGTTGCCATTATGAGGGGGTGATTTTAGTCTTGAATATATGTAAATAGTCTTCAGAAGTACTAAAAATGTACAAATATAACATAATTCCTTCAAAAATATCTTAAACTAGGAATTTCACTTTCTATTTCTATATGTCTTTTTCTATATATGGCAGTGCCTCCAGCCTCTGATTGACATTTTGACATTGATTTTTCAGCTGGAATAGTCAGAAAAACTAGGCCCTGTTTTATGGAGACTTTCCACTACAAAGTTTTTGTCTAACACAATATTAAATTACCTTTACAACGACTATGACTTATGATGGTATGACAGAACTACAAAAACCCCTGCACTTTTGGAGGGCGTAGTTTTTCTGTCCCTACTCCAGCCAACAACTTTCAAAATAGCTATCAGGGGCTAGAATAGGGGCAGATGTTTCGGTCTAGCATACAGGACAAGTTTTCCTGAATCTACCAGAAACACAGTTCCTACAGAGAGGCTATGAATTATGGGATAGCAAAAGACAAAGTAGAGTGATTTGACCAATAAGATTATGAGACTGTCGCTTGTAAAAATGGTTCTGATTGTCTGCAAAAAATAGCTTGAAATGTCACCAGTATGTGACCTTCGTATCAAAAAAAGGATGATAGTCAATGCAGAAAGACAGCTAGATGCAAATATTGTAAATAACATGGAAACCTACAGGAAAATAGCCATTTCTGCCACTACAGTGTTGTAAAATTGTAGATAAACTATACCAGTACCTCAAATTTTTAATCTGAAATAGGATATGCACTATTCAATTATATCCTGTTAAAAGAATCAAAGAATCATATATCACATGTTCAAATAAAAGCTAACAACCTTCCTTCACAATTCCATGCCTTTAACTAATATTGCTGAATATATGAATAACAGTGCCAATAATTCTCTGTGTTATTGCATGTAGAGACAATATTGAAAGTATGCCAAGTATTCCAGTAAATTTATTGTATTCACTCAACACAGCTGTTATACCATTATCATAATTAATGATTTTGTACTTCCTTGTTTTAATACAAATACATATTCATAAGCTTATACTATTCACAAATCATTCATATTATTTCTATTCAATATGTTCCCTCTTCAGAATGACAAGAAAAAATCTTGATCTTTTAGATCTTTAAAGGGACAGGTGTGTGCCATTATGAGGGGTTGATTTTAGTCTTGAATATATAGTAAATAGTCTTCAGAAGTACTACAAATGTACAAAAATTGCATAATTTCTTTAAAAATACTTCAAACTAGGAATTTTACTCACTGTTTCCATAATGTCTTTTCTATATATCACAGAGTATCTTAAATTGACGAGTCGTCATTTTAACATTCAATCGCGGATAATTCTGGAAACACACGGATTGGAAGAGTTAAAATTCGACGGTGACCTGTGAACACTATTACTGATTAGCTCAGCTAAAAAAATTCCAGTTTATGAGACTAAAGTGTGATTGGTCAAAACAACATTAGTTGGAGCATGAATCCAGGGTCATTAGAGAGCATGTCCTAGCTCCCTGGTGACAGATTTCTGCCCTCTCAAAAGCATTCTGAGAAGCATAAGACACTAAATTCACCTTTTGTTTGTGTCACAAAATCCCAGCATTGGAGAGGGCAGGAATATGATTGGCTTGCGGTATCATCAAACTGACCAATGTTCAAGTCGCCCGTCATAAAGGGATTATCAAGAGGTTTTTGTAAATTTTTTATGTGTATCTGGGAGACTGATAGCATCAATTTGCACCATTCAAAATTTCAATCAGACCTCTGTAGTTCCTGCAATTCCACTACAACTAAGTGTGTGATGACGTCACTAATCGTAGAGCCTTATGTGATTAGTGACATCATCAAACACTTTCTGGAACTGCAGGAACCACAGACATCTGACTGAAAATTGGAATGGCGGAGATGGTGCTATCAGTGTCTCTGGTAAAAAAAAACGGAATGAAAGTTTGGTCTTATTTTAATTAGACTGAATGGATGGGACTCATATTATCATGTCATTACTGAGCAAGAAAAAATAATTGTCAACAAATTAATGAAATGTTGTCCGACAACAGTCTACTACGCTACTATATCTTACTTGTACTTACTACGTTAAAGGCCATGTTAACACCCACTTAAAGATGGGTTTCCTTACTCTTTTGGTGTCAGATTAAGGACAATATTTGATTTATTGGTGTTTCTAATGAATTATCATATATTCGTAATCATATTATTATGTTTCAACCAATCATAGTGGTCCATGTATATAGTCTGGATACACAAAAAAAGGCTTTTATGAACTAAATATGTGTAAGCTCATAGTATTACGAATACGGGTTTTGACATGGTCTTATTAACCCGTATTAAACTAAGCCACTACACTTTATTTTGGGGGCATGGAAATGAGATTGTTGCTATTTAAATCTACCAATCAGATCGGTAGAACAGAAACAAAACACAACATTGCTTTGCCGCCACCCGTTTGAAGAGATAAGAACACATTCTTTCCAAGTTAATATTCCAAAGTCTCTCGGCTTCAATTATTTAACAAAAATCTTACTCACTTCTGTACAGTACATTTTCATCAAAATATGTAATGGCATGCTGCTTTCGCTTTGTCATAACGATCGATTTGTTTTGATTGGTTGAAATTTGCTACCAATACAGTAGGACAATATTTATCTATGAATACGTAATTCTTCTCACTTGTATTACCCCAGCCCCGAGGAAGTATGATGAACGGGGGTTTGGTTTGGACATGATGGTGTAAGCTGTGAACATTACCAGTACTGATTATTTTAGCGAAAAAATTCACGTTTCTGAGACCAAGATATCATTTACTCCCGGCAATACAGCACTTTACCAAGAAATGCAAGCTTACAGCCTACCAGCAGATTACTTGAAATTGATGAACATAAATAAGAATATATATTTCTTTATTTATAAGAAAGTAGACACATCTATCATCCTAGCTGACCTCAAAATAGAAGTCAGTCAATTCCAATAATTCATAGACATAAAATATGACAGATTCCTACCAAATTATATGGGTAGAAGAATAACTGAAGAAATCCATTGAGACAGAAAATTCAGATAATGGTAGCCATTAGAAGTAACAGCTCTCCACCATTCTGATGTTAATATTGATTAACTTTTACAGTAGGCAATTTACACAGCAGTTCACTTTACATACTTTTTATCTATACAACATCTTTATAGGTTTATAGACATCAAGAACAGACCAAATGTCGCGATGAAGCATTTATATCTAAAGAGGTTTTGGCAACCTTGGATGAGAGTCATTTATATTTCTACTCCAGCCATGGAATACAAGACAACTCAGTGCACCTTTCATGACAAACTCGGCCCAATTTTCAAGACAAACTCAGCCCACTTTCATGACAAACTAGGCCCATTTTTCAAGACAAACTCGGCCCACTTTTAATGACAAACTCGGCCTATTTTTTATGACAAACTCGGCCCACTTTTATGGCAAACTCAGCCCACTTTACAAGACAAACTCAGCCCACTTTTCAAGACAAACTCAGCCCACTTTTCAAGACAAACTCGGCCCACTTTACAAGACAAACTCAGCCCACTTTACAAGACAAACTCAGCCCACTTTACAAGACAAACTCAGCCCACTTTTCAAGACAAACTCGGCCCACTTTACAAGACAAACTCAGCCCACTTTACAAGACAAACTCAGCCCCCTTTTCAAGACAAACTCAGCCCGCTTTTCAAGACAAACTCGGCCCGCTTTTCAAGACAAACTCGGCCCACTTTACAAGACAAACTCAGCCCACTTTACAAGACAAACTCAGCCCACTTTACAAGACAAACTCAGCCCACTTTACAAGACAAACTCAGCCCACTTTTCAAGACAAACTCAGCCCACTTTTCAAGACAAACTCGGCCCACTTTACAAGACAAACTCAGCCCACTTTTCAAGACAAACTCAGCCCACTTTTCAAGACAAACTCGGCCAATTTTAAAAGACAAACTCGGTCCACTTTACATGATAAACTCAGCCCACTTTTAGAGACAAACTCGGCCCACTTTTCATGACAAACTCGACCACTTTTCATGACTCGTCCCACTTTTCATGACAAACTCGTCCCACTGTTCATGGCAAACTCGGCCCACTTTTTATGACAAACTCGGCCCACTTTTTATGACAAACTCAGCCCACTTTTATGACAAACTCGGGTCACTTTTTATCACAAACTCAGCCCACTTTTTATCACAAACTCGGCCCACTTTTGTTTTATGACAAACTCGGCCCACTTTTTATGACAAACATTGGCAAAAATGGGAAACATGTCCCTTTAATTACAATTTAACTTTAATCATCATTGTCAGCCAACAAACTACAAATTTCAATTAGATCTACAATTCTCATCTCACTGTGTTGGAAGTTGGCAAATCAAAGACACCGTTTCAATCCAGCCTTTTTTTTTTTGAAAAACAGCCTTTGCCGGCTTTGGACATTATCAATCAGGCTAGCCGACAATTACAGCGTTACTTCCAGTTAACTAAATAATAAAACATGGCTTCCATACCTACTTGATGCGTACAATCCAACAAAACAACGAAAAAATGTAAGTCTTCTTCCCCGACTTGATGATGAAGTTGATTACAGTCGTCGGTAAATTCGAAAAATGTTTACCCCTATTGTTAAAAATGAACTCATCCTTTTTTGCCACTCAGGAGACATTTTGTTAATTGACAATCGAGTCTTACGTTTCAACGAGTCCACTATTTCAAAATAGGTAGATAGAGGTAAAATGTAAGTGGAAATAAAAAATATATGATATTTAAATTTTCATTATCGACAGTTAGTTTAGTTTATGCGCAGTTTTGATTATCTTTTTAGGATCATATTTGATTTTTAACTATTGCAAAAAATCTGAAATCTATCAGACAACAAAAAACTCATGGGGGACAACTCTTTTTTTTAGAAAAAAATGTTAGGCTACGGACCACAAATGAATAAAATGTGAAACCTGAAAGGGCGAATTTGTTACACGATGCTACATCGACAATTATAAAGTCTATTGGCCTTGTAAATGTTTGCGTGGAATAACAGAATAATAATAAAAAAAAATTCGATATTAAAGTAGTAGCCTGTAGTGGACTCATTCAAAGAGAAGTACCATCAGGTGTGAACGTAAAACGTAAAATCGCAATTAAATCTCGATTAACAAGTAAGCTACAGCTTGGGTTTTAAAAAGCCTAGCATTAATCGCACATCCCTCCCTCTCTCTTTACGAGAGTAATGGTAATGGTGTAGCAGAGCTAATATTTGAGAATGACTTTCTGACTCTCTGATCACATGGTAGCTGCGTTGGAGTATATTTCTATTGCTTGTCACAAAATAATATACTTTTAATTGAGCACTTTTTATCATAGCAAACATTAATTAACACTCTTCACTTCCTATATAGTCTTATCCTTCAATTTGACTGGTTGGCTCTGATGTGGTGACCTTATGGCTCACATCAGAGTGAGCACTTTTCGGCATCTCCTTGGCAACAGTCAATGTTTGCTTGTTTCTGTCCCCTCTCCTTTATGCTCACTTTAGACTTGGATCTTGGAGAACAAACACCATATTGTAACTTTTATACAATTAGGATTTTGTATGTTCTTCTGTTCTCTGGACTGTATGATACTCTTACAATACTTCTTCAGTATTTTTAGGTATGTGTATTTTATATTGTCTTGGTTAAGGAATGGTGGGGTGGGGCAGTGTAGGTGTCTATAGGAGTATGACTGCATATTTATATAAGTTCACATTATTATTTTACTCTTTATCTTTAACTATTTATTACATAACATATAATTATATTAGCTTACAGTTTCAAGGTTAAACTAAAGTATCATTACAATGTAGCCTATGTTTCATCTGAAATAATTATCTTTATTTCAGCTGCTAATGTTCTACTGTTTAAGTTAATATAAGTTAGTTTTGTCTTAAAACCCCGTTACAGGGTAGGTTATCATTCAGCATTTATTAATATTTAACAACTGGCATAACTCATACGTGTACCACGTAAATGGAGTAATGTAGTTACCTGTAGTTACCCTTTACGACAGCTCCCTACTAGTGGCATTGTATTAATTGTTATATAATATTCTGTAAGCTATATTAATCTGTAATATTTGAATATATATTTTAAAGGTTGTATTATATTTTTAATTTTGTTAATATATATTTCAGGGTTTTAAATACATAAAACTGAATTGTGTTTTTGCATACCGCAATACCCCGAGATATTGCAATGGTACCTAGAATTAGGTCACTGAGGTTGTTCGCCTGTATTGATAATTCAAAACGAAATCAACAACACTGCCCAACTCTTTCCACGTGGAGGCCACCTCTTTAAAGAGTCAAATTTGTAAATTTCGATCCGCAAGCCAATGTTCCTTATGATCGACCTGTCTTGAAAATTTGCCCTACTATGGTCCGTCAACGAACAGTTTACATATTTTAAAGTAAACTAAGTGGTATTGAATACAACATAGATCGACATCAAATACCACTTTATCTACCTAGAAAATAGTAACCAGTCTTTGTTTATGATTTATCATCCCTGGATGTACATAAATAATGTTGACGGACAATAGTAATATTAATACCTCCTTCCCCCACTCTCCCCTACTATGCTCCATCAACGAACAGTTTACATATTTTCAAATAGAAGAAGTGGTATTGAACACAGCATAGATCGACATCAAATACCACTTTATCTACCTAGAAAATAGTAACCAGTCTTTGTTTATGACTTATTATCCCTGGATGTACATAAATAATGTTAACGGACAATAGTAATATTAATACTCCCTTCCCCCGCTCTCCCCTACTATGGTCCATCAACGAACAGTTTACATATTTTCAAGTAGAATAAATGGTATTGAACACAACATAGATCGACATCAAATACCACTTTATCTACCTAGAAAATAGTAACCAGTCTTTGTTTATGACTTATCATCCCTGGATGTACATAAATAATGTTGACGGACAATAGTAATACCCACCCGTCCCTCTTTTGCGCGTGCTTCACGAGAGTAATGGTAATGGTACCTAGAATTAGGTCACTGAGGTTGTTCGCCAGTATTGATAATTCAAAATAAAATCAACAACACTGCCCGACTCTTGCCACGTGGAGGCCACCTCTTTCAAGAGTCAAATTTTAGTTCGCAAGCCAAAGTTTCTTCTAATCGAATGACCTAGTAGAGGTAATAAAAGTAATAACTCAAGAAGCACAATTAAAAACACGAAATTTTACTTACTCACTACGGCCGTTCCTCTGGACTCCTAAATTAAAAATGACAATAAAAAATAGTAACATTTTGTTTTATATTGTTAACGCGGACGTTATAGTAAAACAATGACGTGACGTCATAGACGTTTAAGGCTAAAATTTAAAATGTTGAAAATATTTTGAAATTGTGCTTGTTTTTGTGTGAAAAATTCAAATTTGACGCTGAAATATTTAGTAATTAACTATTTACTAGAGGTTATCAGATATTATTGAGTACTATTTATTATAATAATATTTCTATAAGTTAAAAGTGGTCTATCAATTTCTCAAAATTTGAATTTATTCTTCAGTCTTAAAGTTTAAAAACAAACCAAAAGCGAAAAAAGCGGTTGGATATTCTTTGTATGGTTTTAGTTTGTGTAACAAATATCTATTTTCAAATTGGAGAGACTCTGACTTCGAAAATAGTGAAAATTAGGGTTGCTATGGGAAAATTTGATAGATACAGATACTGATATATAGGGCTCCAGTGGCCCAACTACCATAGGGAGTGGTTGAACCTAGTCCACAGACCCCCAAAGGCGCCCCATCCTCAGAAAAAAATCGCAGGAGAGCAAAAAAAAAAATTCCTGGGGGGCGACCAATTTAGATCCACGTGCCCCTATCTATCTAGGTAGGGCCTGTAGTCGAGTAACTCATTGATTTTTTTGTCATCTCCTGACAGTCTTTCGATTTCATTTCAAATTCTTGTCCCATACTCAGACTTGATTGTTCGGAGGGGCAATTATTATATCCCGAGGGTGAATGATGTATGGTGTTACGTTACAGTCACGGAATTGGTTTATCAGAATCTTTTCATTTTTCTATTTATTTGGGAGATGCATTGGAATTTTATAATTCTTGTATTATGTGCTTTTTTTTACCGTTATTTGCGCTTGTTTTCGCTTGTTTACACGTGTTTGCGCTTGTATATATCGGTTTGCGCTTGTTTAGGCCTATATATATTGCGCGTGTTTATTCTTTAAAGGCGGAATGGCTTTTTATTCAATGTTCTTCATTGCTATTTCTTAATTCTTAATTCTAAATTCTTATCTCTTGATAGTCTTAATTTGTGCGCTCATTGAAAATTGACATTTGTATACAAAAATCATAATTTGTACTGAAAATGAACATTCTTCGATTAAAAACCGGTTTTCGAATTATTGAATTAATAGAATACTTGCCAAAAATATCCTCAAATACAAGTCTGCAAATACAAATCTAGCTCAACATAATTTATGTTCAAATGCAAAACGTCAAACACAAAACTCTACCTACAAATGTTCAAATACAAATGTTCAATAACAAATCTCGCTCAACAAATCTTGCGAAACATTTCTCCAAATACCTGTCGAATATATTTGAAGGTCATGGCTATGACGACAGATGTCGCTGTGCTACCAAAATAAACAGAGCCCTTTATAGAGAGCTAAAAATAACATAACAGAAGATAAAATAAGATATAGACTATAGATTCACGGGCCAAAGGGGAGGGTCATATCGAATTGACCTCCCCCCTCTGTTTTTGTCCATTTAAAATGCGTCAAATCTCAGTGAGTGTAATAAACCACACATTTTGCAGTGTGGATTGAATTGACATTCCTATAACGAATAAACTACATGTACCGGTAGCGATAATCTAAGAGGCGATAGTAAAAGATGTTTAAATTTCATAAACAGTCTAGTTTTGTACGTTTCCAAATACTTTTATTTTCGTTTCATTTATTTTTTCATT